AGTTGAAAGCCATTCTAACGATGTAAGTATTTTGCTGATGAATAATTTTGCAAGGACGGAACATTTTTCGAAAACAGTACTGCATACAGTTGAACCTCGATAACACGAACCTCCGTATGTCGAATTTTTGAGAGACCGCCTGAATTCCCTTGGAAACATTCCATTTAACCTATTACCTGTCGTGGGTGCCGTGGGCCCCTATTTGGGACTTTGGTGCTTTTTGATCCCCCCCCCCCCCCAATACCAAAGAAATGAAAATTCTGTAAAAATATTTAGTGGCTCCGCTGTGAAGTTATCTACAATTCAAGGACTTTATTTGCCGATTTTTTTCCATTTTTCACTCAACAGGCAAATGTAATAAGAACTCAACTCACAACTTCTGTTGGAAAGTTGAAACATTATATTTGGAATGCAAGAAAAGTACTTTTTAATGCAGCCAATCTCCAAAATTTGCTGTCCTTATAGCCTGGTTACCTCTGAATGGTTTAGCATTTTTTAAAATTTAATTTTCTGATATTTTGATTCATCATAACAGATGCAAAAATCTTATCCCCAAATGGGGCTCATGGCAGGTGGCATGTGAAAAAATATCAAATATTCCTGAAAGTGTGTCAGAAAAAGCTTTTTCTTGAACTAATTGCTGGGCTGAACATGCAAAAGTAAAGATAGAAACATGTGAAACAAAAAAATTGGCTTTGAAATTAATTTTTAAAAATTGTCCTAAATCTGTGATAAAGACAAATATTTTAGAAAAAAGAATATAATGATACCCCCAACGCTTTTGAGCTTCATCTAGCATCAGGAAAATCCTAAGAAATTGATTGTTTTATTGGTTGAATGATGATCATGGAGGTCTTCAGCTTGAAAAAGACTAACCTCCGGAATTAATTGGTTAAATATTTAAAAAAATTCTACATTTCATTCCTGGTGGCATTCTAGCATCACAAATCTATCAAAAGAATTGTTTGCACTCTAATTTAGCTTACAATATTGAAATTTTGTCAAAAGAATTCAAAAACTATTTTTTCTGATGGTTCTACCATACTGTACAAGTGTACAGTATTTGACTTGAACTGTTATTTTTCAAATATTTGCTGGAGCCCATCTTGAATAGGCTTATCCTTTGTGACAAATTTCTATGTAAAGCTTTTATACCATAAGTTAAAAAGACAAAGGTAAGTACTTCGCATATCTGAAATCCTTCCTTGGAAACTGACTCCAACGCTCCTTTAATTATTTTTTTGAAGAATATGTTTCTTTTTGTGAGATAAAATTGAAATGCTGTAGAAGCACTAAGAAGCTAGGAAAACAATTCTCTTGGAATTTTTCAACATGCAAGAGCATTTTATTTACTCCGGGGGAATACAGATCAGCCATTCCATTTAGCTGTACGCTGTCAGTATATGAACAAACAAGATGTTCTATGCCACTTTTTCTTGTTCCTTTAGCATTCTGTACTCTTCGGATGACAGAATCCCACTTAAATGGTCTGTTGACGAGAGACGCAATTGTTCGTGTTATTCATTTTTATTTTTTTGGAAATCATGCATCATCCGGAGCAACATTAACTTGACTTTCAGTCCTTCCGCTACATTTCCTGGTTGTTTTCAGTCATGATGAGCGATTCCAAGTTGGATGGACGTTTGCGTACTTCTTTTCTAACTTCTTAAGTTGGGAAACTTTGTTTTGCGAATCTTCGAAGTTGAGGCAATTTCTGTCTGTGTCAAAAAGTTTCAAGAGTGGGATTGCTAGAAGGAGGGAAGAGTTCAAATTCAGGCAGAGGGATGGTTTTTTTTAAGAATGCTCACATGTAGAGTTGGTGCTGAAACTTGTACATGGTCGTATTTTTTTTTTTAGTTAAATATGCCTGATCGATATTCACGTTTGTACAATGCAGTACATTTAAATCATCTTCTGAGCTAATTTTATTGTTTGATTAATCTTCGTAAACTGCAGAAGCAGAACTGTGTCAAGTGTTCGAGATCAGGTTTATTTATTTATTTTACTTCAAAAGTTCGAATTATCATCGCTTCCTTGAACGCTTTTCTTGACGTGGAAAGGAGTCCGGCGATCACGATCACTTTTATACTTTCTGCTGCGATCTTCGATCAATTCCCTTAATGATTTTATCCATGTTTTTCGAAGTAAATAACCCTGATGTTTATTTTCTCTTGATTACGAAACGGGGGGGGGGGGGAATTCGAAGTTTTTCTTCTTAGAAAAAGTTGGCTAATTTCGCATGAGACTATTGGTTGAGCGATGGGCGTGAATCGATTTTTGGCAATCTTATTGATTATCTTAGCATCATGACCGGACGTTTGGAGGATAAAAAGACGAGAATTGAATTTTTTTAAAGATTGTCTCATGGATTTCTACAGGCTTCGTTTATCCTGAAATTTTAAGACGTAACAAACATTGCTTAATACGAGAATTCCGGGAGATTTTGTGGAACAGGACCAAATTTGAGAACTTCTGCATTACGTTAATTTACCTGAAGTATTTGCTTTTTTGGTGATTCTGTGCTACTTCATGTGTTTGCAGTTGAGTAACAGAGACTTGAATGCATTACTGGATACATTTGAAACGAAGACCGTGCTTTTCTTTACGACTGTATCATGTTATTATTTGATATGGATCAGTGGTACATCATTGTGTTCTGTATAATTTTTCATTCTCAGTCAAGTTCGGTGAGAAAGCGTTGGCGAACTGTATTTCGAAGATCGCCAATACCATTATTTTGCAAGATTCTCGTCCTAGTTTACTTGGGTTGGTTGCTTAATTTTTTAAAGTTCTACTGTACCCGTATTAGTTACGATACTTACGAACGAAGTTTATCCTTATTCAAATTCAATTTGTTTTAAATCAAAAATGCAAGCACACATTTTTGTAAAAGATCATATACCCTGTGAAACATTCGTTACCTGCGGTACCACTTCACTGTGCCATCACTTTCCGACAAGTAACCTCGCGCGGCAATGAGCACACTACATTACTGTGTGCTCCCCACCCAAAAAAAAGAAAAGAAAGTCATGGGCGTGACATCCGTGTGGCTCGCGATCTGCGGCTGTTGACCTCTCTCCTCTGCCGCAGGTCGCGACGCATTCAGGGTCACTCGGTCGCCGGGTTGCAGTTCTCGGTGCCATTTCTTCCTCTGCCCTCGCCGGTGCCACTCACTCACCCACCCTCTGTGGTCCGCATGGTCTGTGTGTGTCTGTCTCCCAGATGCCCTGCTTCCTCCTGGCAAGTTGAGGAACGAGCGCGTGTGTTTGAAAGAGGTGGGGGGGGGGGGATCAGCTGATGGGCCGAAGGGATCTGCCCCGTTGGGAACCAACGAGGGAGAGAGAGAGAGAGGAACCTGGGGACACAAGGCACCGAATCGTCGGGTTTTGTTGTCGGGGGGGGGGGGAGAAGGGATATGAATGAAAAGTGAGAGAGTGCATGTGGCCTGGCCCGGGCGCGCGGGAAGACGTGGTGGTGGCGGCGGCGGTGTTGGTGGTGGACCTTGAAGACCCGTACGGGATTTTGTTTGGTTGGTTTAATTTTTTTTCCGCCGGGAACGTTGCACACGTTCCTGGATCTCGTGGTCTTTGTTTACGTCGTTTTGTTTGTTTGTTTTCTCATTTTTTTTTCTTCCCTAGCCACTGCCGTTGCGCGACCTGATGTGATCGTGATCCCGGCCGCTGTTTATCGTTTACTTCGTTTGTTTGTTTTCTGCCTTTGATTTTGTCCGGGGAGGAGTTTTATTGGCGCTTTTTTCCGCAAGTTCCAGTGTAGCTCCCTATGTCGTCGACTGGTTCTGGGTGTGTGTGTGTGTCACGCACTCTCCTTTCTCTCTCTCTCTTTCTGTCACTCGCTCACTTGCCGGCTTCTATGGAGTTTTTTTTTCGTTTGTTGTGGTTCGTTTGTTTCTACTTGCATCCTTTCTTTCCTTCTTTTCTCTTGAAGTGAGGGGTGGTTTGGCTGATAGCTGTTTTGGTACCGGCGTTTTCTGGCAGATCCGTCGTCGTGTGTCCGTGTGCCTGCGGCGAGTTCGGACACGTCTGGGGAAATAATTTGAGTACAGTACAGTTGTTTCCAGGGCTGTCCCGCGTGGATCCTCGGGTTCCGCTTCCCCCCGTTCTCCGCCTGGAGGGAGGGGATGTTCTTTTCATTATTCCTCCGCGCTCTTTTGAGTCGTTTGGAAAAGCGAATCTGTTTCAGTGGAACCTCGTCAAATCGAACTTTGTAGGACCAGGAAAAAACCATTTGATTTGAGTTCGGGAAGAAATTTGAGTTTAGACAGGGACTCGAAAAAAATTTGACGTAGGGAGCTAGCTATCAGTTGAAGTTATCAAGGTGCATCTGTATTAGAAATTGTTCCTGTGTACCGTATTTCGGAAGGGAAAGGTGTATTGTTTTCTTTGTTGACGTTGTCACTGCACGTCTGACTTAACACGGATTGGGTTTTTCGAGGTTATTTTGTAACCTCTTTATTGGGGTGTGAGGAGTTGGGATTATCCGTAGTACGAAATTCGAAGGACTAGAAATCGAAATCGGTGAGCAAGAATTTCAAGAGAAACCCTGTAACATGGGAAATGAATCCTACGGGACTGTAGAAAAATTCGTTATATCGGTGTACAGATAGTCCACCTGTATATGAAAAATGTAAGTTGGGCAGCTTTTGAACCGGCGGTACACATCAATTTTCAGACGTTTGCATGGCTCGTTGTACAGTACGCGTTTACTCTCCCTCTACAGTGAAATTCAAGGTACCAGAAAAAAAAATCATTTTAGAGAGAATTTCATTGTGGAGAACCCCGTGTAACATGGGGAGAGAACCCTAAGGGACCACGAAAAAAATCATTCTACAGGGAAAGAGTCGTTGTAGAGAGAGTGTATCAACAGTTATCGTCAAGAATTACCGGATCAGGATTACTTTATGTTTTCGATGTATATTTTTTATTTGTTGTCGTTCATGCACGGAGCTTGAAATATAATTTGTGCGTCTCTTATTCGGACAGGTATCTGGATCATTACGAGAAGATCCATCGAGGGGTGGAAGTGGAAGATGCGGAGGATATCGGCGACGATTCCGGTCTGGGACTCGGGGGGTCTCGCCGACATCGTCGAGGCGGCTTTCACAGCGTGCACACGGTTCCCCTGTCGTACAACCACAGCCAGCATATTTTGACGGGTTAGTGGAGTACAGTACAGTACAGGAAAATAAGGAATTTTTCTTCCTCGTGATCCTGGGATAATCAATTTTTTACGGGGGATTTCGATTGTAGAATCTGTGCGTCAGCAATGCGAGTTGGCCCCGGTGTCGGTGACGCCGTCGACGTACGAGAAGGTGTTGTTGTCGCTGTCGTCGAGTTTGCCGAACGAACAAGAGTTTGCCTTGAACATCTTGACGCTGTTGTGTTCCGAAGGGAGCAAGGATCCCTTGCGACTGGAGAAATGTCCCGCCCTCATCGACTACCTTCTGTTCCACGCCGGCGTTTTTCGTGACGGTAATTTTTACTTTCTCCTGATTCAAATCACTGGGATTGTTGTCGAGAGATGAAAATGATTGAAGGGTGTTTCCGATCTTGCGAATTCAAAGATTTGATGTCTTTTTATTTTCGAATTATTCTTAATTTTTTACATTGCAAGTTCTCTGATTTTAACTGAATAAGGACGATTTCGTTGCAAGAAACTGCCCCATTCATGTCTAATATCGTGTTCTATAATCACTCGACTTTTTAAGCCTGGAGCATTTTCATTTTTGCTTCGTGAATAGAGAATTTTAAATTATTAAGAATCTATTGAATTTGATTCTTTTCTTTAAAAGTTATTCTTTTTTTTCTTGACATCCTCACCTGAATGTGGCTTCAAGGAATTTAAGTTGTACAGGATCTTGTCAACTTTCGTCTGCGATTCTTCCTTCTACCGTAAAAGCTAACAACAATAATAATTTAAATTTAAGAATCATAGAGATTTTTGTTCAAGGTCATGATACATTCAGGAGCACATGAAAGTTTGCTTGTTGTTCCCACCAATTGAACAGTGAGTGTAATAAGTGTGCAAAATTGTAGTAGTGGAGTCATTTCGCTAGCACCGTCGTAAATCATCATTTCGACGGAGTTTGACAGTAACGCTCCGTACAAAAATTTTTTTTTCTTTTGAACATGTTACAGTATTTTGCTTTTGAAGATCTCGTCCACTGTTATAAACTGCTCTGAACTTGACGCCCAGAATTTGTGGCTATTATATCTCCTGTTAAGTGAAAACGTAAATTGATGCATTTCGAGATGTGCTTGATAAAAAGGTTGTTTTCTCTCCTCGGGATACCTTGGTTTTATTCACACAGTAATTTGTATGATTTTATGTTGTAGAATCGCTCCACCTTTTGAGCAAGGAATACGTAGAGAGGCACGAGTTACCAGACATGGCGTCGTATTGGGCAGAGGCCATCCCGAACAGAGCCATTCGAGAAACTTTGCTCTACGCACCTCCGGTTGTGCATCAAGTCCCGGTGGGGAAAAAGCCGCGAACTTCGATGCCTGCACCATCCCCAGACGCCATGGAAATTGGCGAAAAAACTGAAGAAGGGTTAGTGTCTGATGAGGAAATTGCCTTTGCGTCGCGTGTGTTGAAAACTTATTCATTGGAAACTGTGGCTGTGGGGAATACCTATAACTTCCGGTATTGTCTAGGGATGAAACCCTTTATTTGGATTCTTGGTTGTGAGAATCTTATCTTATAGCTTCGCATTCATGTACTGTCCTGAAAAAAATCAGCCATTCTTCAAAGTTCAAAACTTTACCTCACTCAGTTGTTAGACGGGATAATTAATTCAAATCCGGAACTGCTGGGTAAGTTACAGTATCATTCTTTGGTGTAACGTATGTATCCTCGAGGATGAGCTAGAAGAGATAATTTTACGAACTGGAAGAATTTTAAAATGCCACTGTGGTTCACAAATTTTACGAAGGGTGAAGAATTTTAAAATGCCACTGTGGTTCACAAGTCGCTCGGTGTGATTTGATCAGATGATACTACAGTGCTGTATTTTTCTTGTACTGTATTCAATTTCAATTCTGATGCTAGTTATTTTTTTAAGGGGTTCCTTTTTTTTTCGATGGAAACTTGCCGGCGCATGTGAATTTTCCATTTCTAGCGCATTGCATTTTAAAATTCGTTCGATGCTTGAAAGCCAAGCCTGATTTCTTTGTTCCAGTGACGGCTCCAATGAACATCAGGAGAGACTGTCTGACTGTGATAGCGTTGAAATGGACGGTGTAAAAGAAGAGGAAGAAGTGGACGCGGATTGCTTGTCTGCACGACGCGTTTGGGGCGAAACGGTGGCCCACGAACCGGAGCTAGCCGCGAGCCTTTTCTCGCCTGCCCGAGGCCTCGGGGCAACGGATCGACGCGGCGTGAAGGCGTCTCGGGTGGCCCTCATCATCCACAATGCCAGTTTCGAGGAGCACAATGTCCCGACATTAGCTGCGAATCCAGCTTGTCTGAGGTGACTTGAGGCGATTGCTTTTGTGACTTGCGCATGGACATGTTTCAGCGAATTCAATTTTTGGGGGGGGGGGGGGGGGAGAGGGAAAANTTTTTGGGGGGGGGGGGGGGAAAGAGACAAAGAGTCCCCCAGAAACTTGAATAAAATAATTGTTATCCTCTTTAAGAAACAGAAATTAACTCTGCCGGAGAAACCCACACAAAATGTGATCTTCTAGCATGGAAAGGACCCCTAGAAGCAAAGAACAAGCAACGTATTTCTATGCTGTGCACAGGTGACGAAAAGAACCCTGAGAAAAGCACAAGATTAGCCTGTTTTGGATGATTTTAGTGAATTTGTGATGGAATTCATTTGTTAATTTTTGTGAATATAAAAGCTCAATTTGTTCAAGAGATATCAACATTTAAAAAATAAAATTTTTTAGTTGTCCGTGTCTCGAGTGTTGTCTGGATGTCGGGCAGATTTCCCGAAGGCGAAGTTTCCATATTTCGGGGCTCAACTGTGTATGGTTCTGGGCGTTTACAGTTTCTCTGTACACATATTCCGTTTTGATAGCCCTCATGATCCATACCCTCGAAGTTTGGCAGAATTGTTCAAATTCTCGTGATTTATTAGAATTCGCACGCTTCGGATGAATTTCTGTTGACAATCTTGATTTTGTGGTTGGCAGGTTTTTGCTAATGTGCATACACGCAGCTGCCGGTGGAGGAACGGGGGTTCAATTGTCTCACATCGGTTGGAGCACATTGGCTAATTTGGCACCGGAAGTGCGATTGTTGGATCCGGACGCGGACCGGGTGTCGGCGCAAGTCCTGCGAACAGTCACGACGTCGTTGTTGGAGTCGGCCGATCGAGCACATATCATGGGAGCTCTGGAGGCCCTCGCCAGATTGGCGTCCCGCGAAGGAAACGAGGAGAATCTGTGCGCCTTTTTGCCGGAGTCTGTGTATTATCGGATTTGCGAACTGATGACTGTAAGTGCTCGACGTTTTAAAAAAGTTAGAAAAAATGTAATATATTTTTAGTAAATAATTTAGCCTATTCGTTAAATTTTAACTGTAGATATTCTTGCTTCTTTGCGCACCGTAAGCCTTCGTCGTCCAAATAAAAAAGGAAGGCAATTTGTAAACTTTTGTTCGAGTTTGTGTTTTGATTTCTGCTTCAACTCTTGGGATGCCCTGCAGCCCTTCGCAGAAATATTCTAGCATTAGATGGACCTACGTAAGGTTGTCCGTTATGAAAAGTGAAATACAGTACAGTACTACGTGTATTTCGATGTGTACACATGTAGTTATTGATGGAATTCTTTCTAAGTTCCTTTTTTTTTAATGCACGTCTTCAGGCGAAATACGAACAGATTTGGGGTCTCCAACTTGAGGATTTGTGGGAAGAAAATTAGCGATGCTTTTGTCCTTTTTTCGGCTCTGTGCATCTTAGGATGTTATCTTCTGAATTCAGAAATGTTAAATTTCCGGATTTCTATTTGTATTTTTTGTCGTTTTGAAGGTTGAAGATATTTTGTTGCTGTTGGTGACCCTGGAGACGCTGCTGGCCCTGACGAGTATCGGAGGCAAGGTTTGCAATTCGATTGCAGAGCGGGCCCCGGGCTCGGTGGATGCCTTAGTGTCGCTGTTGACAATCGAAGCCCAGTCGTACGGGTCCAAGGCTTGCATTCTGATGCGAGTTATTGAGACGACGACGACATCGACTGTTCCCGGCGGCGTGACGTCCAGTGGCATGGGCGAGGAAGAGACGTCGGTGTCTGTGGACGACGCCTCCAGACGCGGACTTGTCAAGAACACGCCGCCGGCGTCAAGGTCCACTTCTCCGGCGCTGCCCATGATGATACAGATGCAAAACAGTTCTGCAGTTGGAACTGGGACGCCGATTCGAACTTACGGGGTGCCGGATGGTCGCGTCGTCGTGGCGAAAACTGTCGGGTGAGTTCTTCTGCTTTGTTTCATGTTCACGCGAATTTTGGTCGAGCAATGACTCATTTTCAGTATGCCTGTAGTATCGCCTTGGTCTTCCTGTAAACTATACTCTATTAATGCTTGGGTTTTCAAATTTAAAAATTCGTGGATCTGAGTTTGATTTTCTATACGCTGGGCTTCATCAAAATGTTGAAGTCCCTGACATTGCTCAATTTTCGAAAAATTGTTCTGAAAGCTTTTCGATATTTAGCATTTAGTGCGTCAGTTCATATTCGAGACTTCGTATTCCTCGTTTTTCGTGAATTAACGCTTCAGACAAGGGTAATTTGTCATCTTCGGACGGACTACAGGAAGTTATCGCTCTCATTATCGACTTGTTGGATGGCAGGACGTCTTTTTTCGGATTGTCGAATATTGAACATTTGTTCGTGAACAAAGAACGAAAGGATTAATGCAGTATATACGTAAGATGATTGAATTCATGTAAATCTTGAACGGTTTTAGTCGGTGTAATTACTAATTAGTCAATTACAGGAATAAAATGAGGCGGCAGACCGAAATTGCGAGGTGTTCAGGCCGCCGCTGTGTTTCTTGTGAATGAATAAAAATTCAGGCACCGTTGATGAGCCTCGTTACGCAGGACTTCCTCCGTGTAGTACTTCGTGGCGTTTTTCTTTTTTACCAAGAGTTCTGGAGACTCATGGCGAGATTTTTTGTTTGTTTGTTGTAGGATGAGACCCCAGATGATGCGACCGGACGGGACTGTGTCGAATGGCCCGTTGACGCCGCAAGGAGCAGTTGGGCCACGACAGAGTGGAGCAATTGCCACTGCGACGCCGGGACCCGTGCAGATACAGGCGTCAAATGTCCAGTTTCGCAGTCCTCAGCCGCATCAAGTGCGACCCGCTGCGCAAATCACTGGCGTCGTTCGACCTGGGAACATAGTATTGGTGAATTCTGCACAGCCCGTTGGGATTCAGAGCCAACAACGACTGACTGTCGGCAGTGAGTTTGAAAACATTCTTTTATTTTCGTTGATCTTCTTGTTCGTTTGTACAGCATTTATTATTAGAACTGGGAATTTTTAAAAATTTTTGGATTTGCGGAAAGATTTATGATTAACTTGGCGGGGCTTCCGCGATATGTTTTGAGAGCGAAAATTTTAATGACATCAAATTTTTTCCTTGTTGTAATCCTAATTTTGAAAAAAATCTCTTCGAACAAAGAGCTTCTTTGCATTTGGGATGCGTGTGATTCGTCAATTGAAGGTAATTTCCTGCGTCATCGTTGAATAATCGAATTTGTTAGCCAAAAACGTAAATGTGAAGGTATCTTCAAGAGAAGTTGCATCGATTTGATTCTCGAAAACTATGCATTAGTTAATTTTCGATTGTCGAAAGAATGTGATGTTCATTCTATTGTTGGTCCGGATTCCAGAGGAAGAAACAAAATTTCGTCTACTGATCGTTCGTTGTAACGCGATTTCTTTTCGAGCCTGATTTCATTTGCTACCTGGATCATGTTATTCGTTTTTTGCGCATTTCTTTAATACTGTACTGTATTTGCCTGTAATCGAGTAAATCCTTGGTGCTGGATAATTTTGGGTTTTCTGCGGAAGGTTGAACGTGTGCAATTATTTCCGAAACAGAGACGTACGATGCAGCGACGGGGAAAGTGGAAACGACGCACGTTGTGAGCAACTCGACGACGGAGACGGAGCATGAGTCGTACGCTGTTCAATGGATCACGGCCAACTACGAGACGAAAGCCGGAGCGTCGATAGAACAAAGCGAGTTATATAAGCATTATATGGTGGGCATGTCGTCAAACAAACGAGAACGGTTGCCGCCGCAAACCTTCGCCTACTGCCTCAGGTGATGAAACTGATTGATTTCGCAAAGAAATTCCTTGATAGAATCTTCTCTTGCGAAATTATTTTCGGAAGACTGTTTTTTTTATCCCCTTTTCATTCGTCCGATTATTCTTCTGCTTCCTTTCAAAACGCATCGAGTAGCATTTTCATTGCTTTACTTGTTCCTGTTACCATGATTTAATCACCAAAAGGCCTCCAAAAGAGTCCACCCAATTCATATTTCATCGATTTACTTCATTTCTTTATATAATGATTGATTGGTGGACTGGCCAGGTATGATTATCTTGTAAATTCATGTGCAATATGTATGATTCAAATGGCGAAAAATTTTTTTATCTTCAGAATGGTGTTCGGCAGTCAAGTGGGGCCGTTCCAGAAGAAGCTTCCTGGGGGAGCAATCAATCACTACCACTACTTCGGGATCGCGAAGCGCCAAGCCCCTTTGGCGATGACGTCGACGGCGACGACGGCTGTTCAGCAGCCGACGTCCACGACGATGGCGACTACCGTTTCCTCCACGACGCCGGGTTCCGTGCCGACGACGGTTATGGCGAATGGCGCGGTTGGCAACTATGTCCGAGCACCAGCAGGAGGTCCACAGCCACACGTGGTGCGGCAACAGGTGGTTAGCCTGAGACACGCGGCGCCTGCGCCGCCGTCCGTCACTACGGCCGCCGTGGCGCCTGTTATCGTTCCGGCGACCCAGGCTGTCACAACGCAGGTGGCGGCGCAGAACGGCAGCATCCCGAGGCTCCAGCCGGGCAGTCCGATCCTAAAGGCCCAGTTGAGCACTCCGCCGAGAAACACGCAGAGTGGAGGAACGACAACCCGACAGGTGTGTGTTCTTGTGGTGTGCGAACGTGAAAAACGGCTGTGCAAATTTTTTATGATGCCGTTGTAGTTGTTTCTGAGGATATTCTGGGCTACTGTGCAAACAGGGAGATGCTTAATGCAATTTCAGTTGCAGTTATGGGGTTTTTTCGCATTGTCGATACACTGTACATGCGAATGTCTTTTTCAAAACAAAAACAAAAATGTCTCTGGACATTGTGATGAGCACCGAACAGTCGCGATTTTTGCTTGATTGATATCGGGCCGATTTTAGTCCGTAGGGGAGGATGTTGTTTTCTTTAGTTCCTTTTGCGCTTGTATATTTTATTCGGCGCGTTCGATCGATGAAGGGCACACAACTTTGGGTGAGGATGTTGCGTTTCTTGGCTTCATGCTTATGCTTTTTGCTTGAACCCCGGGTTCTGGGGATTGGGCTTGTCCACGCAGGCGCACCCGCATCTTAGTCACGCGCTAATGAGCGGCGGGAGCGTAACCACGAGCTCGGGTTCGGACGGGCCGATGATCCCTCAGACTGTGGTTACGCTCACCGAGTCGGTCTCGCCGCCGCTTCAAATGCCGCCGCTGACGGCGAAAAATTCTACGACGGAGGACGCCGACGACCAACACCGGCAGCAGCAGCAGCAACAACCACAACCACAGCNTTCTTCTGCTTCCTTTCAAAACGCATCAAGTAGCATTTTCATTGCTTTACTTGTTCCTGTTACCATGATTTAATCACCAAAAGGCCTCCAAAAGAGTCCACCCAATTCATATTTCATCGATTTACTTCATTTCTTTATATAATGATTGATTGGTGGACTGGCCAGGTATGATTATCTTGTAAATTCATGTGCAATATGTATGATTCAAATGGCGAAAATTTTTTTTATCTTCAGAATGGTGTTCGGCAGTCAAGTGGGGCCGTTCCAGAAGAAGCTTCCTGGGGGAGCAATCAATCACTACCACTACTTCGGGATCGCGAAGCGCCAAGCCCCTTTGGCGATGACGTCGACGGCGACGACGGCTGTTCAGCAGCCAACGTCCACGACGATGCCGACTACCGTTTCCTCCACGACGCCGGGTTCCGTGCCGACGACGGTTATGGCGAATGGCGCGGTTGGCAACTATGTCCGAGCACCAACAGGAGGTCCACAGCCACACGTGGTGCGGCAACAGGTGGTTAGCCTGAGACACGCGGCGCCTGCGCCGCCGTCCGTCACTACGGCCGCCGTGGCGCCTGTTATCGTCCCGGCGACCCAGGCTGTCACAACGCAGGTGGCGGCGCAGAACGGCAGCATCCCGAGGCTCCAGCCGGGCAGTCCGATCCTGAAGGCCCAGTTGAGCACTCCGCCGAGAAACACGCAGAGTGGAGGAACGACAACCCGACAGGTGTGTGTTCTTGTGGTCTGCGAACGTGAAAAACGGCTGTGCAAATTTTTTATGATGCCGTTGTATTTGTTTCTGAGGATATTCTGGGCTTCTGTGCAAACAGGGAGATGCTTAAAGCAATTTCAGTTGCAGTTATGGGGTTTTTTCGCATTGTCGATACACTGTACATGCGAATGTCTTTTTCAAAACAAAAACAAAAATGTCTCTGGACACTGTGATGAGCACCGAACAGTCGCGATTTTTGCTTGATTGATATCGGGCCGATTTTAGTCCGTAGGGGAGGATGTTGTTTTCTTCAGTTCTTTTTGCGCTTGTATATTTTATTCGGCGCGTTCGATCGATGAAGGGCACACAACTTTGGGTGAGGATGTTGCGTTTCTTGGCTTCATGCTTATGCTTTCTGCTTGAACCCCGGGTCCTGGGGATTGGGCTTGTCCACGCAGGCGCACCCGCATCTTAGTCACGCGCTAATGAGCGGCGGGAGCGTAACCACGAGCTCGGGTTCGGACGGGCCGATGATCCCTCAGACGGTGGTTACGCTCACCGAGTCGGTCTCGCCGCCGCTTCAAATGCCGCCGCTGACGGCGAAAAATTCTACGACGGAGGACGCCGACGACCAACACCGGCAGCAGCAGCAGCAACAACCACAACCACAGCTGTGGTTACGCTCACCGAGTCGGTCTCGCCGCCGCTTCAAATGCCGCCGCTGACGGCGAAAAATTCTACGACGGAGGACGCCGACGACCAACACCGGCAGCAGCAGCAGCAACAACCACAACCACAGCAGCAACAAACAAATTCGAGCTCGTTGATAAAGTCCCTCTTGGCGACGAAGGTAAAGAATAGAAACGACACGAACGCTGCGGGTTTTGGTGGATGGCCCACGGTTCCTACTTTTTTTTTTTCTGCGGACGACTGAGATTGAAGTTTCGCACTGGTTCACGGGATTGACACGAAGAACAGTTCACTTTCCCTTTCACGATTAATGTACAGTACTCTTCACTGATACCTAGTTTCTTCCTGACGAAAGAAGCATGCTAATTTTTTTTTTATTCCTTTGGGAAGAAGCGCATTTTTAAAGGCGTTTTACCTTTTTTGATGCACTCGAAAACATTGTTCTTGATCAATATTGGGATATGTTTGCACATGTACTCAAAGCATCAGTGTAATTTTAAATTGGTTAAAAAAAACCCATGCTATCAATTCCAGGTGTGTTTTCAATGATAGTAACTGTAAAATTGAAGTATGTATTCATGCACGCACCGAGAAGCCAAAATGCCTTTTTTTTTTAAAGCGTTTCGTGAGGGACTCTGTCATTCATAGTTTGTAAACCGATTTCTAATTTTTGTGGAGTGTCGGAACCTCCGTATTTTTGATAACAGGCAAAAACTTCGCTCCAGGATTTTAATTTTGTCTCTTAGAGTCGGGAACAGATGTAAACTACGAAGCGGTATCAAGTCAAAGAATATTAATCTAAAAGCATTTTATTTCACTGATGTGCTCGTTGCCAAAATTTCTGAGCTTAAAATTCAAAACTGTCTGATTTTTAAAAAGCTTAACGAACTAATTTGTGTAGTCTTGCGGAATTCGACTAAAAGCCGGAACATTTAACAAAACTCGAAAACTGATAACATTGTGAAGTAAATGTAGTAAATATTGAATTTTAATTGCGTGAATAAACCAAGGTTTCGCAAAATCTGGAAAAGCTGCGGAAAAGGAAGGTTGAGGATGAAGAGGGGAAAATGCGAGGGACGGAAGCGCCGTGTGAAGCGATCAAAAACCAAATGAGCACTGGTGAAGGGTTCAACTTGAGTTTCGCAGGCGTTGGCGACCACTGCGTAAGAAAAATATTAAAAAATCTGCAACGAAATTATCCCTGTGTTTTGAGAACGCCTGAGGTTTTGCTTCACTAACGAAACCCTCTAATTGTCGTTAGCTGGATGCTCACGTTCTGAAATTTGCTAACCGATGCGCTTGTTTTTTGTTGATGACCGGTGGCTTTGTCAGATTTGACATTGATTGGGCTGGTGATGGAAACTTCTGTTGTGCTTGTTCGGGAATGTCGGATCGGGGAACAGAAATATTTTGGCTTACTATATATGAAGAAAGTCGAAAGTTGATGTCTTGGTTAATTGCTCACTTTAGGTTGGGCAGGGTTTTGGGGTGGCATTTGTTTCAGTTTTACGTAAATATTACGAATCTAATGGAGCAAGAATTGATGATTGGAAAATTCATTCTTTGAAATTGAAAATCAGGTCTTCGAAGTTTTTCGCGCATCGACGCCTTGATGCGTTTTTCAACGTTTACCCGACTTTTCAATCTACACGTTTTTTTTATGCGAGTGGAGAAAGCATGGGATTTGGTGCGCACTGATTTGGTGGTCATCGTGTTTATTTTGTGTGCAAATATTTGTCGACAAGTTCGATTAACTATTGTGGAATTAATGCATTGCATGTTTTGAAGGGATTTTTCTCAACTAACTGCTTGCGCCGGTCAAACTTCAGCGTTTATAAATGTATCCTTTGAGACGAACACATTCTTTCCAGGGCTCAATTCGTCCTTCCGAATGTTTTAAAATTAATGGTGATGTGGAAAGTGGTTCCGAAATTTTTTTTTAAGCCGGAGGAATTGTTCCCTCTAATTTATAGAGGAAAAAATGTACAGTATTACGAAACTACTGTATAAATGCTTTGTATGAATGACAATTGTTCCATTGTACAGTTCGTTGTCCAATCGTTTTTTCGTTTTCAAGTGAAAAGAATGATGGAAAGATAATTCATGAATTCAGTTCGTCGGATACTGGGTTTGACCGGCTGATTTATTCTGCTGGAATAAGTTCTAATTGTTTCTCTTGCATTTTGTCTCTTCGTTTTTTTTATTCAGCAGGCTGACGGAAACAACGCAGTTCCACGTACAGCATTGGTGTCGCAGCCAGCGACGACGTCATCGACTCCGACGCTCGTCGTCCAGCCTGGTCAGCAGTCGCAGCAGGTGTACGTGCAGCGCACGAACGGAGCCAATTACGTCGTCGTTTCTTCTTCTGTGGCCAGCGCGTCAGGGATTGCCGCCGTTCAGCAGTCCCCAGTCATGGTGCAAGCAGTCTCTTCCGGTGCGTCTATCCTGGTCGCCTCTAATGCTGAAGCCCCGCAGCCGTCGCTGGTGACGACGTCCACTGTGCAGGTATGCGTCTTGAATATTTTACGAGTGGGCCTAACGAAAATTGTCGGGAAAAAATTGAAACGGCTTACGATTGAGCTGAGAAACAATTGCAGGCGAACCTCGTGAAGTCTTACTGCAAGGGGCCAGCAAAACAATTCGAGTTGCTGAGATTTTTAATGTTTTATTTATAATGGAATTCAGACTGGGACTCTTGTTTCTTTAAGTTCTTTTGGAATGGAAGTTAAAAAAAAGATCGAGAAATAGTCAGCTTTTATACATTTCAAAATACAGTACTGTACATGAGTCATTGACTGAAGGGGAAGATCCATGGTTGTCTAACACCGTTTTTCATTACGTGGATAAGACCTAAAATTAGTTGGAAAGTTGAGGTTCCTGGGAAATCAGAAGCGCATGCTTGTACTGCATTTGCATATTAATGGAATTTTAATTTGATGCCTGAAAAATCTAGGAGGGTACTTCTATTCACGTAAATACGATTACAAATTGTCAATGTGCATCCTATAGACTGTATAGAGTACTTTATTGTATTTTTTGTTTTTCTTTTCGCAGAAGCATCATTTAGCTGTGAACGACGTGTCCAAGCAAGGCAAGGGTCTTCTCGCGGAAATGCTGGAGCGGGAAGTGCACAACGAGCTGCCAGCCAACGGTACAATCGATCGGGAAATCCGCATTAGCGAAAAGGGACTCGAGCTCGTGCCGCGTCCGGGCAGTGACGAGGTCTTGGTCAACGGCGCCGGAGACGACTGTTCCAGTCTGAAGCGGAAACTCAACGAGCCTCTGCTGGATGAGCCGGCGGCTAAACGGGCCGCCTCCAGCACGAGCCTGGACGTGGACAACAACGGCAGGATCCAGTGCCTCGACGGCATCAACGACGACGGCATGTTGACGGACGACGACTTGCGGATCGCGTGTCTGGACGGCGTCAATGATGAGTCGCCGTCGACGTCGTCGTTTTGCACTGACCAGGGCGTCGGCACGTCTGCGGACTCGGCTTACACGTCCGTCGTGGTGTTGAACCAGGGCCAGGCATTTATCCCGCACACGCAAAGTGGAGGACAGCCGCGGATGGCGACTTTGACGCCGTCGCAGGCCGCGCAGATGGCCCAGCGGCGACGGATCGAACTCCCACACGTTTGTCTGAATCCGGAAACGTGTGGCGAACCGGGATGCACGGAAAAGTTCTTGGACTCGCTGGAGGAAAATCGGGCGGCCACCATGTCGACCGCCTCGGTCCAGGTTGCCGCTGGTGTTCAAGCTGCTCCTCAAGTCCAGGTACTGTAATGCCAAAAAAATCCTTCGCATATTCATCCGTTGAGAAGACAATAAATTCAATTTCGTTTTTTTTTCACGTTCATAGACTATAAAACAAACGTAAACTCACTCACACAAAGCGCTACGTAACTTTAAGTTTCAACTCAAAGACATAAATGAGCTCATGTCGCGCGTGGAAAAAAGTTTTGATTTTACTTTTTCTTCTCCTACGCGTACATAGGCGGGGGTATCTTGAAAAAAGTCAAGTTTTGCTGCACGTAATACTTGATTGGAACAGGGGATTTCTAACTAATTCCTATTGAAAATTCTGAAAACGGAAATGATGGAAAAGCATTCATTTTTCTCTTAATTGAAGTCAAAATTTAAATGCTGATACTTTCAATATTGTAATACTGTACTGTATTTCAACTTCCAGTCTCTAAAACTGTAGTATGCGTCTTTGTGAAGTACAGTATACCTTTTGATCCAAATTTTAGGATGAAAATGTATGTGCGCCTGGTACTCGAGTCAATGCGGTAGGGGGTCAAAAAATAAACAATAATTTGAAGTTTTTTTTTACTTTTGAAAGGATTGGATATCCTCAAGTTGCTATTTGCTTGGTCTAGTGAAATGGTTAGGGCAGGTTAATTGTGGTTATCAAAGGTAACTGAGTTTGAATTATGTTGCGTTTGTCCGGTTTAGCGTAAATTAGGACCGGTGAAGTTGGTTTATCGTAGTTATTGAGTTGTTTGTGACGATAACAGTCCTTTTGATAGTGTCAAGTGCAGTACAGTAATGTGCAGTATTTTTAAATATGTTTTTGCCTGAATTGAAAAATTGTCTCACCTTCTTTAGAGACTTGAGGCGTCAATCTTGCCCACGTCTAATGTTCTTTTTCGAGATGATTGTGAGAATGTCGATGGTTTTCCAAAATTGACGATAAAAAGGATTGAAGCGTGTGGTATTTGACAGAGCATCATCGTGATAATATTGTACTGAGACTTATGACATAAAAAAAAAAAAGTAAAAATCGCTTGCCACCAGTCAGTCGGTTGCGTTCGTGTCGGCCCGGTTCAAAAACACCACGCTGTCGGCTCGCCACCAGTCGGCTAGGTGATGCACCACGCCTTAGTTGTTCCGGCCGTGCTCGTGCCACACCAACGAGGAACCGTCTCGCAACAGTTGGACCCGACGCAACAACACCATCACCAACAACAACAACATCATCACCATCATCAACACCATCAGCATCAGCAGCAACAATCGCAACAGCAGCAACTCGTGGCCATCAACCATGCCGGAGGAGGAGGACAGGGTGCGCTGCTCATGCCGCAGGGTGCAGGTACCCAGGGGGGTCTCAAGATCTTGTTGGTGCCGCAGCCGGGTGGTGGGACCCAGAAGCTGGCCCTGGTGGCCGGCTCTCAGCAGCTGATTCAACAGCCGCATCAGATCGCGGTTCAGCATTCGCCGGGTGCAGGCGGGCAGCAGACAGCCACTGTGGTCGTGTCTGCACCGCACGGGGTCATGCATCATCAACAGCTCATTCAAACATCGGCTGCTCTTACACAGGTCAGCAATAGATGTCGTCCATCTACGGCTATCTGTACTGTACAGTATTACGTATGGCATTACTGTACTGTTGGTGTACAGTTTCTGGGTGTTCTGTTTTGTTTCAGGCATAGGAAAGCATGATACAGTACTTATTCCAAGATGAAGCCAAATTGAAATTGTCACGGCACTCACAGGTGTCATCGTAAATTTGTTTTCTCTGCCTTTTTTTTTTTTTACTGCCTGTATAATTACCTACTAAAGATTAAGCCCTGGGCAGTGCCAGCAGGATATGTAGTGAGAGTATTAGGCCAACGTTCTGTTCAATGCTTTAAGATTGGTACTGTGTTATTACGGTAGTTTATGTAGACTGGAGGTCGGATTTTTACCAAGTTTTAGCTTGTCGGCTTTCGTTTAAAAGCACCAAAATATCACTTCAAAGGGTCAACTACAGTTCATGATACACCTCCCAACCGGAGGCCTTGGTGGTCACCTTGCGTTTGGTGGGCAATTTTTCGGACATTTCCCAACGTAAATGGCATTACAGTACTGCAGTTGAACCTTGGTAACTCGAACCTCCCTGTGTCAAATATTTAGTCACTGTTTTCCCTTGGAAACAATTTATTATTAACCTAGAGTCTTAGACCTTCCCACTCAAACCTCCACAGCTTGAATTTCCTAGAGGCCTTTTTAATATTACGTTATTGGCACAGGAAAGAGGAAAAGCAATAAAAATGTATATTATCGTTTTTTTAGGGAAGGGAAAGACGAAGAATTGCAGGAAATTGTAATCGGTTGTTCTCTACGCCTTAAATTCCTTCTTAAATTATTTGAAATGCTGAAATTCATGACGTTACAATTTCCTGCAATTCGTCATTCTTTTCCCCAACGAAAAATGCGTTTTTCCTTGAATTGAATGTCTTTTGTTGGTTCTTTGAAGTTCGGCTTACGAGGAGTTCAACTGATAAATGTAATTAATTTTCGTGGTTTTATAGTGAAGTTTCCCAGTTGATGTCAAGTACTATGTGGAGGGTTGGCCTCCGGAACCACCAGTGGAACGCAAACCACCCGTTAAAAAGCCTGTAAAGGGTTGCATTTACCGTGTACAGTACTGCGGTTGAACCTTGGTAACTCGAACCTCCCTGTGTCAAATATTTAGTCACTGTCTTCCCTTGGAAACAATTTATTATTAACCTAGAGTCTTAGACCTTCCCACCCAAACCTCCACAGCTTGAATTTCCTAGAGGCCTTTTTAATATTACGTTATTGGCACAGGAAAGAGGAAAAGCAATAAAAATGTATATTATCGTTTTTTTTAGGGAAGGGAAAGACGAAGAATTGCAGGGAATTGTAATCGGTTGTTCTCTACGCCTTAAATTCCTTCTTAAATTATTTGAAATGCTGAAATTCGACTGCAATGTTAAAGGACGTTAAGCAGTAAGAAAAGGGGTTGCTTTTTACGCAAAAAGGAACTTAACTTACAGAAAACAACCAAGAAACTTCAAGCCGAATGCTCCTCAAGTTGACTATTTACATTAGCCGTCGACCTCTTGTGTTCCTAGTTCTTAAAAAATGCGTGCAAGTAGAGAATAACGAAAGATACGTTGGTGAAAACCTACGATATGTTTGAAGCCAAAAAATATTGAACTAATCGAGTGTAATTATTCGTCTGTGCAGGTTCAAACCGGGACAGTGACGTACGCAGCCCAATCGCAGCAAGTAGTCTCGGTTTCGGGCCACCCGTCGGGCATGGCCACGATGACTCGGGTGCAGGCACCTACAGCCCCAATGCAGCAGCGCGGGATGGTTCGACCATCGGATCCGTCGCAGACGATGCCGTCGGCTCAGGCCCAAGTGCGTTTCGTTCAGCCGTCTCAGCCCACTCGTGTCATCACGCCGTCGGCTCCGTCCGCCACCATTCAGGTGCAGGTGGCAACAGGGCCACAGTCTCCGGGCGGTCCGACGTCGCCCTGCATGCGTAGCACGGGATCTCAGACAAACGTGAACCAGCCGCCGAAAATACTGACGCCGCGAACGCCGGCGAGAATGGCGGCGGCCGCAGCGGCTGCTGCAGCAGCAGCTGCAGCCGGAGGTTCAGCTGTGCCGACATCGACAGTGGGCGTCGTTAGGACGGCAGGGCCAGGTCAACAGCAGCAGCCACAACAACAACAAAATCAACAGCAGCAGCCACAACAACATGTTTCTCAGCCGCCACCTTTGACAGCAAGAATGGCCGTTTCGTCTTCATCCGTGCCGCAGCCGGTTATTGTTGCTGTTTCACAAGTAAGGCTCTCATATCTGCACCAAAACGTCTTCTATGAAAATTTTTCGGTTTTGTTTGCGTTTGATCGTCTAAGTGGAGTGTTGGGACGGTCAATGGACTTCATCAATTATGGGAGAAAGCGAATTAAACCGAATGCAAATAGTGCCAGGTTTTATGACATTTTTGATTCGTCGAGTGCCAAAACCTGGAGATTCGTTTGTTGACAGATTTCGAAGCACGCGAAAGTTTGCTCGTTGTTCTCTCAATAGAACTGCGAGTGTAATAAGTGTGCGAAAAAATAGCAATGGAGTCATTTCGCTAGCACCGTCGTGAACCATCATTTCGACGGAGTTTGACAGTAACGCTCCGTACAAATTTTGTCCCCTGTTCAAAATATGTTTTTGCCTTTTGAAATCTTGTTCAGTGTTTTAAGCTATTCTCAAATATTCAATATGCTTGAAGAAGTTGGGCTGTTTTCCAAAAGTCCGAGGTCAATGAACTACCGACTGATTCAAATTACAGACCATTATCGTGGCCACTATTCATGCTATGTTCTGCGCGTGAGTAAAATTTCCGCAAGCTGCATTCTAGGTTCTTGGTAAAGGGGTTGTTCCAAAAAAATTGAAACAATTCTTCATTCCGTCATAAATTTGTCAGATGGATCTCAGATTTCTCCCCGCTCACTGCTGCTCTGTGAATTATTTCCCTTTTGGACGCGAAAAATTGTCGCGTGAGCAGATGTTGATGATCTGATTTTTTTTTTTTGTAGCAGCAGCAGCAACAGCATCAGGTGCAAATGCAGAGTGGCGGTCCCGTGGCGCACACAGTACGGCCTCAGTATCAGACGGCGAGCGGCCAGCCGTCGGCGAGTATTGTGCGTCTCCCGAGCCTGGCGGTGGTTCGACCAGCGGCTGGGCCACAGTCGGGCTCGGTGGCGCCGGCACCACCGCCAGCGCCAGGGATGCAGACTGCCGCCGGTCCTGTCGTTGCTTCCAAGTCGCTTCCCAAAGACGAGTTCCTTTGCGAATGGGCTGGATGCACCACGTGAGTTTGCTACATTTGTCTTGCTTTTTTGTGTGTGAAAAAGTGGGTTTTTCGTTTCTCAATTGTTCCTTTTTTTCCCTTGCAAAGAAGAAGAAAAGATATGGAAGCCTTTGTTTGAATAACTCGACTCAAGCCCACCCAATTTTTTAGGGTTATTCATGTTGGTAAAAAAGTGTCCGTCACCAGTTGGAATGTCGGGCAGGTCTCGCCTGTGTCGTGAACCGGGCCGAAAATCCAGAGTTGCCAACTCTGAGCGAACATGCTGTAGTCGTAATTACTGTAAAATCTCGTTAGAAATAATTTTTACTACATCAAAGTTTTTCTCAAGTCCCGGCAGAAAGCCCATAGTATAGTACAGTACTTCTTAAAGTAATCACGCTGTATAACAAGCTTCCCAATTCCAGCATGAAATAACACTTTTTGAAGAAATGTTAAATGGGTTCGCAAGGCGGAAATTTCCTGACTCAGCCAGGCAAAATCTGAAACTTCCAATCCCAAATTTTAAAAGGCAGGTCTGATGCGGAAAGTTTTCCAGTCATTAATTTTGAAAATCTTGTTGAAGTCCATCACAAATAATTTAATGCAGTTTAACATAACTTTTTTGTAGTCCCCAAAAGTTTTTTTTTATGAAATTTTACGTAAAACTAAGCCTGACCTGGTTAACTTGGTATAGCGTGAATATAGAATGAGCGAAACATTGTTTTCATGCTTTTTGATCGAACAAGTAATCGAGAAAAATGCAATATTTATTTTCCCGCAGGGCATTCAAGCACGCCAACGAAGTGTACCCTCATGCGTGTGCATTCCATTGCGGGGACCCGTCGTCTACGGAAGAAATGACGTGTCTCTGGGGCAAGTGTGACGCGATGAAACGGAAGAGATTCTCCATCATGACGCATTTACTCGACAAACATTGCAACGAAGCGGTACGAAGAGCAAACGATGACCTAGAACTTTTTTCTGTTTTCGTTTTTATGAAAATTATTTTCATTCAGTGTAAAGAGATTTGAAGCTAAATCTAAATTCGAATGGGCGTTGAATTCAATTGCTTTTGAATCGTTCTTTCTTCCGTGAAAACACGCCACGATTAGAATAAACCGACCCTCAAAAGGGAGAGAATTTCAATTGAACTGCGGTACGGTATCTATATTCTTGGTACTTGGCCTCGGAGAAATTTTTATTTCTCAGGCTCTTGATTCGTGTTCAAGGTATTTTTATTCTGAATAATATTGTGCCCATTTTAAATCCAAACGCAATTCTTAGATTTTAATTTTGTAAATAGGTTTCCGACAAGTTCAATAGAAGATGAGAAAAAAATCCGGTATCAGACAAAGGAAAATCAGCGTATCACATTTTCGAATGCCATTAAAAAGACTGGCTACAATCTATCAATACAATTTTCCCTGTATGCATTTTGTTTGCGTGCTCTCGCTATCGAGTCTCGATGCATGTTTTGAATTTTGAGGAACGAAGCTGCTATTTTTATTTATTTTTTCGACAGGCCCTGAAGGTGTCGCTGAATCGACGGAAACGCACGGCGATGGGATTGCCGTGTCCGCCGGAACCGGAAATAGTGACGCCGTCGACCCACGCCGGTTACGCGCCCAACGCCGCCTACCAGGCGATTCGACGTCACGCTCTCGAAGGTGTTCAGCAAGCTTGTAAACAAGTGAGTGTGTCACATTTAAGGCGCCATATTTTCATTTTTGTGTCAGGGAAAACAAATTTAAATCGCTGAAGTGAGATTGCTTCCTAAATTGAGATTCAATTTTTGCTTCGGGTTACGGGAGTCTGTTGATCCTACTCATTACCAGTCATCTTCAGATTACATCCTCGAACGATCCTGGTCCATCTCAGGAACTTCACTCGTGCGCGATTGAAGTGGTAACATTTGTGAAGATTTTTGTTGCGGAAATTAAGAAAAGATGTATTTAAAAAATGGCGTTAGTTAGAAACGATGATGATCTGTGATTGAGATTGCCGGATGCTATGAAGTACTGTACTGTATAAGAAATCGTCAAAGGTACGTCGCATCCTGCATTTAATTTTTTTTCTGGCCAATTTCCCGACGACGAGAAATGGATGCTTAAAAAATTTCAATGAATATGGTATTCGACGCCACCTCGTTATTTTTCCCCACTGCTATTCATTCTAATTTGTCGCAATTTTTCAGGAGGACAAAGAAGGCCCAGTAACCAAGAGTATACGGCTCACCGCAGCATTGATATTGAAGAATATGGTGACCTACTCGGATCATGCCAAAAAGTGAGTTCTTCGATTTATAAAAAACCTGATATTCGTTTTTTTTGATATCAGTCTAGAAATGATTGAAGCTGGAATATTGTACTGTACTGTACTTGGATACGAGTGTAAAAATAATTCATCTTGCTCAATATAGCATACAGTATCTGACAAGGCTGACGAAGTATCCGAACCGAACTCGAGCGTTCCTCAGATTTATTATTTGTCACGCATTGTCATAGTTTTTCCGTGTGGTGCGTGCGGATCCGTGAAAATATCTTGTGAAAACATAAACATTACCATTTCTCTGCTTTAATCGTGGTTGGAATCATAGTTTAAAAGTCGTGTTGTGGATTGAGTTGATTGCAAGGCTTGTAGTATGTATAATTGTACAGTATTTATTACTGTATCACCTTATTGTTGTTATACAGGTACTGTGTTTGAAAGCACGCGAAAGTTTGCTCGTTGTTCTCTGAATGGAACTGCGGGTGTAATAAGAGTGCGAAAAAATAGCAATGGAGTCATTTCGCTAGCACCGTCGTATATCCTCATTTCGACGGAGTTTGACAGTAACGCTCCGTACAAGATTTTTTTTAATGCTCAAAATATTGTCTTCTCTTTCAAGATCTCGTCCGTTGTCATGAATCCTCCTGATCTTCACTCGCAAAAAATTAACGTCATTATATATCTTGTTCACTGAAGCTGTACGTGATTGCTTATTTGTTTGAATTTATTGTAATTGCTACGTTTTGTCTGTGTGTAGGCCGCGTGTTGCCTCATTAACTTCTCAAATTATTTATTTAACAAGGAATGTGTGCCTGCCCGAAATTAGGTTTGGGTCCCTGCTTGTAGTCGCTTGAAATTGTCGTTTTCATCCGATTTTTCTGAAATTTAATAATGCGTTTTATTCTGCAAATGGAGGAAGTTCGGACGAGTCACGAGTCCGAGTTGGAGCGTAAATGAAAACGAATCTCTGAGGTAGTCGATATTTTAATTTGCTGTACATACTGTATCTTGGAAGCACTAGTTTTTGAGTGATTATTTGTTTAACAAGGAATGTGTGCCCTCAATTTTTATCCAATTCTACAACTTTCTCTGTATTTCTCTCGTAGGATGTTAAAGTGTCACGAGTCCGAGTTGGCGAATGTGGCGGCGAGCAACGTGGAGTCGTCCAGAACTGTGGCGCAAATCCTGTTTGATCTCCAGTCCTACAAGAGCTCTGTGGCAGCTTCCTGACGCTGAGGGACGAGGGCGGAAAGCGCAGCCTGCGAAAACTGAAAGAGGAGCAAAAACTCGCTGCGGGACGGCGAAGTAGGGAAGTCCCCACGAGTCAAAGTGATCTGTGTTCATGTCTTTTTTTTCTTCTGCTTTTCCTTTTCTCCGGCGCCGCTCGGGGAATTGCGAAAGAGAGGAAAAACTGTGCTTTTTTGGAATTATGTAGTTGAAATGGGATGCAAAAAAAAATCGGGGTGTGTGGAAGAGGAAGGAACAAACAAACGCGCGAGATTTGAAAAGAGCGGCTTCCCCCCTCCCCCTTTTTTTTCGTTGGTTTGTGTCCGAGCTCTGCCCAAGTGCGTGGGGTTTTTGAGCCATTTTTGTTTGTTTTTTTCGGGTCGAGAAGAGGAGGAGCGACGAATGAAGTCGAGGAGGGCAGAGTATCAATTTTTTTTTTCAATGTAAATGTCGAATTCGAAAACTTGTGACGGTTGGTTATTTTTTATTGTGTGTGGGACTGTTTCAATGGGAGGCGAACTCCAATTTTCAAGTTTTTACGTTGGAGAGTCCCTGCTCGGCCGCTTTTGAGCGCGCGACTTTTGCCGCTTTTTTTGTTTGTTTCTTCTGCTGAGTTCATTAAGAGGAAGAAGAGAAGGGTGTGCTGTGGTTGTCATAAGTTTAAGTTTCATGGTTTTTTCTTTCTTTCCTCATGATGCGGCATGCGTGGGTTGCGGGACCGTTTCTTGATTTTGCCTGCGGATTATAATGAAAGGTCCGAAGTTGTAAGTGAACTGCTTTTATTTTCCTTTCGTCAAAACAGGCAGGTATCATGCACAAAATACAGGCGGGCTTTGAAAGTTGGTTAGCTGCGAAAGTTCACGAGTTTCATGGGCGAAATACTTATCAAAATATACTGTACTTACTTGATAATAAGAACTTGAATTAACCATAATTTGGTTGTTTTTGTTCCACAGTTGAGGCAAATTCGCAACACACATACTGAAATAATCAATTTAACAATGGAGTCATCCACTCGGGTTGATCATAAGTTCTATTTTAGAAAATATTCGGTACCAAAATCAATACAAGCGTGGCAAGTAGAAAATATTTCAGGAACACAGCTCAAAAATTCCTTCTTATCTCAATGTCCCCCTGGATAAGGAAAAGTTGCATCATCAATAAGGAAATGATCAAATATCCATGACTGAGGACTGACCAAAATTTTGAACTAACCCTCACATGCTCATTTCCTCAAGCTTTCATTCAGCAGTTCCGGAATTAAATTGGACACATTAATTAAGTCAGAGATAAAATTAGCAGTCCCTCATTATACATGATCGTTTTCAAACCAAAGCCATTCAAACCACAGAATAAATCGTTTTACGGAATGTAGCACTCATAAAGCGAAGTTATGTGCTTGTGCAGCTTCTGCTTCAAAAATGCTGAAATTCTTGATTGCTCCTATTCACAGGCGAGTTTCTCTGCTGCGCTTTTTTCTCAAAACAATTGAGATTTCTCAGTTCCGTCTTCTTGTCAAAGCAACAGTTACCATTACAAAAACAATGATGCAGCACGCGTCAACGGTGCAAACCAGGTACACGAGATACATCGGATTCAATGGCATCAGCACGCTAGAGAGGTACGGCACCGTCATTTCACCAGCTGCGGATCCAATGAGGAACACGGAGGCTATTTTGGAAGACACCATCACATGCGATTCGTACCTGCAAACAATACAATTTTATACTGTAATACTGTTATACATTCAAAGTCAGATGCCCTCCGCGATGGGATCCACGAGTTTCGTGGCTAAGAGTTCTTGCCGTTATTCTACAATAAAGTACTGTACGGTATTTTATTTCTAACAACTAATTCATTCAGTAATTTACACACTCTACTGTAGTTCTGGAATGAGTGTCAAAAGTTCAGGGGGTAAAAAGAAAGATTTTTTCAAGCATTCTGTGGGTCCTGGTAATAAATAATTAAAAAAGATATTCAAGCCGTTTTCAGCATAATCATACATTAAACTGCTATTGAAAGATCGAAGCATTTTTGTTGCCAAGTGGCAATACAGTTTAAAAGCAGTTTCTCACAATTACTGATTTTTAATCTTGAGAATAACTTGCTCCCTCATGACTGAAGAATGCTGAAGAGATTTTCACTAGACCTGCTTCAACCTCAAGAAAAAACTTCAGTAAAGATCCACATTTTTAATCAGCCCAAGGACATTTTGAAGATCTTGAACCAATGCGTCACTTTACTTAAATTTGGATGATTCGGTCAATGGATTTTTGGATGCACAATAAAATCTTTTTACACTAAACCTTATGGTACAGTACTTCGGAAAAATTTTGCTTTATTCAAAAATTTGTCGTGACAGCTTCAATGTTTTTAACGAGATTTCACTGTTCTAAGCGAGGCACCATCAGAATCGAATAAATAAGAGCATTCAAAGTTTCAAAATTGTTTCTTTCTTCTAGTATCACAGCAAACCCCGAGTCATATTACTGTACCACGCACCACATGATCCCGGTCGGGAAGATGGACGCCATTCCGATCCCGAGCAACGCCGAGCCGACCCAGAGCCCAGCAGGCGTTTCGGCGCCGGCCAACAGAATGGCGGCGGCCAAAGTGACGACCCCAAAGTCGACCCACATCATCACCATCGGCGGCACGCAGACCGCCACGAAAATCGAAATGAGTCTCGTGGCCGTGTAAGTGCCCCAATAGGCGGAATTGAGGAACGCCGCCTCGGGCTTCTTCAGGGACGCCCCGCTCGTCACGGCGAAGGTGAACACCAACTGCCCATAGGCCACCTGGGGAGAAAAAGAAGGAAACAATTATATCATTCATCTTTCTTTTGTTTTCAATCGGGGACCTTCGATTTTTATTCAAGTGTTTCTTTTCAATAGGATAAAATCTCGTCACAGCAACATTTTTCATCACATATAACGAACTTTTTCTCAAGTCCTGACGGAAAGCCCATAGAGTAAATCTTGAAACAATCTTTTTATAAAAAAACCTTTCCATTTCCAGCACTGTATATAAACAATTTGTGAGAAATTTTTTATAGATTCTCCAGATCGAAATTTCCTGACTGAGGCGCAGGCAAGTCTGAAATTTCTGATCACCAGTCCAATCAATAAAAACATGCCTCCAAGTGGTTCCACACATCATCCTCCCAGAATAACGAGATAAATTGGTGCAATTGATGGAATGCATAATCACAGCTAATTTTCTTTTTCAGAAGGTCACTCAGTTTTTCGAGCAATGATGAGAAAAAAAATCTGAGAATGCCAGAAAAGCAAGATCTAACTGATCTATTGTAAAATGCAGGACTAATGTAAAAAATTATTCCCAGTCATTACAGGTAATTAAAAAAAAAATTTGCGCCAAAAATTATTCAATACGAAAATTTTTTTTTTTAAGTCAACAATAGTTTGTCGAAATGAGATTTCACTGTAACACTCATGAATAATCAACGAAAAAAAAGGCAAAAGTCGCATTGCTTCCTTCGACTGATGCTGATGGGGACACATTTTGAAATCCCCACGGGACGAAGAACAATAACAAACCACTCCTCCGTATTCTCAGTATACCTCCATGCCGACGTAGAAAAAGAAGAACATGCTCATGGCGAAGATGGTGAACCAGCGCAGGGCCCGGGCGACTTTCGGCGCCTGTCTCGTCTTCTGCTGGCCGCCTTCCCCTTCCCCGTCGTCCTCCGCCGCCGCTGCTGCTGCTGCTGCAGACCCACTCGTCCGCCGCTCGAACGGACTCATGACGCCGCTGCACCGATGCACCAGGGCCAGGTGCCAAAAGCACAGGCCCACCAGGACCATCCAGACCATGACCATGAGGTACGGGATCCGGATCATGGCCGCCACCTCGTCTCGGTCCACGTGGGCGTCCACTTTGCTCACTGTCCCGTTGTCGAGCAGGAAGGAGACGGTTTCGTTGTGCAGGAGTTGTTCCCGGTTCACGTCCGGGGACAGGAAGGGCTCGGAGATCAGCGGAGTGAGGAAGGCGCCGAGGCCGAAGAAGAAGTGCAGGGCCTGCATGTACGGGGCACTGCCGCCTTCCCACAGGGACAGCAGCATCACGTTCCCGCCTGCAACCAAAGTTTCAAGTCAACGCATATACTTTTGTACTTTTCGCGTTTCTGCGCAGAGGCGGCTGCCATTTTTAATTCTTTCTTTTTTTACAAAGATTTATCTGTTCAAGGACAGATTGAATAAAAAGTCGCAGGACACCAATTTCGATTTGAAATGATGAAATTGAAGCTACTGGGAATTCATTTCCCTTTTGGCTGATGTCCACAACCACGCACAAGAGTTGTTCCAGTTGGACGCGACCTTTGATATTTGTAGAGTAAAGTACGTGTAATTGGGAGAAACAAATTCATAACATAGATCATAATTTTTCAAGGTTCTGAGATTTGTTGAGGATTTTCAAAAACATTTTTCAATTTTACTGAATGATGATAAGTGAAAATTTCCAGTTAAAGCCAGAGTTCTCCACCCATGTCTCAGGGTGCAAAACATTTATCGGGCCAGTAAAAATTTTAAATGTTTTGTTTTTTTACCTTTTCTACATTTTAAATAATACATTTTAGATAATGGTTAAAAAAAACTTTCAGCTAGCCTGACAAATTTTATTTAGCCCCTTATGACATGGGTGAACACTGGCGTTGAATGGAAAAGTTTCACTTATCGTCTTGAGAAAATCGGAAGACTTATTTTTAAATCCGAAAAACTCCAAGAACATTAGAACATCATCGGGTATGTCGAGATTTTTCTTTTACAATCCCACCTACTGCACCATAAAAATATTACAAGTCGGTTCAACTGGGACAGCCATTTTATACAAATGCATAAGTATGGCCCTCACGTGATGCACATACAGCATAAATACAGCATAAAAACTTGCGATGTGTTTTCTTGAGAAAGTTTGACAGGCTTCCTACATTCCGCAACGCAGAACATCGCCAAAATTTAGAGCGATATCGCAGTTTTGTCTTGAGAAATTTTACAAATTTTCAGTAGTCTTGCGAAAAGAGGGAGAGAAGAAAAAATTCCGGCAAAGGCGGTAGAATCAAATTTACGAATACACATTGATTTTCTGTTTCACGGTATTTTGCCTAAATAAAATGCGACTCTTTCTCGACAACAACAACAACTAAACCCCAAAAGCATTTGCATTGGAATAAAATGAAAATCGCCGCCCACCTGCATCCATGACACCGGTAAAAAGGCCGGACAGGAAGATCACAAAGCAGAATCCCCAGAAGTTGAACATCAACGGCGCCACGCAGATTGAGATTCCGCCGAGAATATTCACTGCTCCGTAGATTTCCAGGCGATGTCCGTGATCGAATATAATGGCGACTGTATAAAGAAACATAGAAATGCGAATTTATTAAATAGTGCGAATATTTGTCAGATTGAGATTCCGCCGAGAATATTCACTGCTCCGTAGATTTCCAGGCGATGTCCGTGATCGAATATAATGGCGACTATATAAAGAAACATAGAAATGCGAATTTATTAAATACTGCGAATATTTGACAAAAGTCCTGCGAAAATTGAATTACATACCCATTACGGAACCCAAAAAGTATCCGGATGATCTTGCGACAAAAACCAAGCCGATCTCGTCCAAATGTTTGTTGACTTGCTACGACTCTAGCTGGTCGCACCCAGGTTAATAGCGGTCTCGGTTTGGGACTTTTACGTTTTATATAAAAAGCTGCCCAAAAGGTAATACATTAGTATCATTTAAAGTTGGAGCTATTGAGTTGAACCTCCCTTCATAGTAATTTTGTTCAAGTCCCCTTCTGCATTCCCTTCAAAACAATGCATTAAAAACCATCCTAACTCAAAAGGCTTTCCACCTCTGGAGGCTTTTTGGCTATTATTTTATTTACACAGGAAAGATAAAAACAAATTTAAAAAAATGTAATTTGATGCATTTTGAAAGGAAGTGAAAGACTAATTGGACAAATAAACCTTTGCCTCCGACTTCAGCATCCTACCAAATCATTTGAAATGCAATTTACGGGACAAAATATCACGAATTACAATTCCTCGTAATTCTTCTTTCTTTCCCCCCAACAAAAATGGTCGCACCTCCAACTCAAAAAATTTGTATGGTCCCTTCTAGTTCGACTTTGAAGAGGCTTGTCTTTAAACTAAAACCCAAGGGTACGTACGTCCGGAAGTTTTGCCCATCTTTTTTTTTCAATACTGGTGGGTTCTCGTCGCTTTTGGTCGATGTCTGCGAATAAAATCCTCATCCAAAAACACGAAAATGTTTAGAAATGAATGAGAAGGGATGTATAGGCAAAACTTTAATCCCAAATAAACACAGTTGGAGAAATAAAAACAACTAAAAGGACAATAATTTGAAATGAACTCACCAAACCGATGAAAGACAGATACAGGATGGCAGTGTAGTACCCAAACTTGAATCGCTCCCACCTGGTGGCGCTGCTGGTCACCGTCGACTGCTGGTCTTCCACTGACATCTGTTGGTCTTCGCTCATCCGAAACGTCACAGTCGGCTTCTCGCTCGGCAACATGGCCATGGTCGACTCTTCCATCAAGTTCTCATCGCCGCCACCACCTTCAGCTTCCTCCTCCTCCTGCTGGGCCACCTTATCGCGAGAGGCGGAACCCGCATTGCTCATCATTCACCCCAGCGCAATTATACTGTATATGGAACCCACACCTGACCGGAATAACACCTGCCGGGGACACGAGACAAGAAGCAGACCAGAAGCACAAGGACAAAATCCCACACAAAATTGTAACCCCGCGAGTCCCGTGAAAAAATTATCCTTCTTGATTCAAATTCCGGCTTTCCTCATAAACTCAATTTCCTGCATAAATTATTCGTCAGAGGTGCACATTTTTGGCATGCCTCTGATTTCAGCGAGGTACAGTTGACCCTTGATTGAAAAAAAAATCCTTGTCTTGAGAAAAAATGGCCAAAAAAAATAAATATCTTTTTCTAGCAATACCATTGGGTTATCACTGAGAATCACATAACCGTGCTCAAATATAATCTCAAGATATTTCTAAATTTACAACATATAAAAAAATTATTTTGCTGCATGGCACCTTCCTTTGTTGAAATTTTTATCAATAAAGTAGGAGCGTTTGTTGAAATAATGACAATTCTTACATAAAGGCACCAGCTCTCTCTCCTCCTATCAGAAAAACGCCTGGGCAAAAATCTAATATGCAAGTGGAGTCTCTCTTCAATGAAATGACAAGAAAATATTTTGTTGCAGAGAGAATTATTTAGTAGAGAACCTCTATAACATACGGTGAGAACCATGGGACCTGAAAACAATTGGTTACACAGAGAATAAAAAGACTTTTTCAGAATTAACATGCATTGAATCTTATTAATTACATTGAAATACAGTATAAAACCAGAGCACTGAGCTTCAAATTATTACTTGTAGCTTTCTCTCTGAGAAAAAAGATTCTGTGATCTAATATTTCTGTGATTTGGCATAAAAAAGAAACTTCAACTCATACAATACCCTCAACGTATTGCCATATCAATTGATGTCACAAAATATAAAAAAAAAAATAATAATGGCACAAATTCAAGGTTAAACCATACTGTATCGCACATTTGCATTAATTTGGTAACGTAGAAATTAAGAAAATACGTAAATCAAATATTTCTTCAAATACGCCATTTTTACAATTTAAAGAACCAAACAAACAAAAAACACGCCTATCAACAAATTAGTGTCGCAGGTTCACAAAGAAGTTAACGTGGAAAGCCGGAATTGAACATTTAAAAATGAATTTCCCCGATAGCGAACGAATCACTTTTGTCCTATTCGTCAATGAACCTTTTTTCTTCATTCCGTATCTTTCCAAACGTCAGCTACTAAGAACGATTTTTAAAATCCCACTGAAACTGCGTCGCTCTGTCCCCAATGGACTGTAAGAATGCGAATCCGTATCAAATGGTCGAAGCACTCACAACGCGATAAACCACACGCATGATTCAAGCCAAGTAAATAACGAAAAATTTGTCCCCCCCAAAAAAAAAAACACACTCACACAAGATGCGTTCCTACGAGCAAAACACGCCAGACGCTTCAGAATAAGACAACGTAACTTCTCAATGAAACAAAAAAAAAAATCTTAATGGATAACAGGTAATATACCAACAGACGAGGTAATTTCACATATCCAAATACCAAACAAAATGGCGAACGAGAACTTCAAACGAGGTCAAAATATTCACTTAAAAAACCGCAGATATACTGTGATGCATAGCTAACCGAAACAACCACAAGCACCTTCTGTACGTCACGGGAAGCATATTTCCGTCGGGATATGAAACAAAAATAATAATTAACAGCGCCTCACGATTAATCAAAGCAGCAAAAAACGTGCAACACCGGAATAAAGGGGCTTTCTTCGTCGTCCTTATTCATAAATATCGACTTCCTCACTCACTATACGCAATTTTCCTCCGAGCTTAAAAGAAATATTTCCTCTGTACCGTCCGCGAATATATTGAGCAGTGTTGCACAGCGTACCGTACACGTTAAAACAAAGCCTTTGCTGCAGATATAATCCAACTTTGATCATTAAGCACGGAATGCGAAGCCACAGGCATGACAAATATTAGAAAGACCATCGCATTATTCTCTAGTCGAGCATTTCCACGCGTTTCTACCAAATTTCACGATAAGCGCTTGCGACTCGAATATAAGTTCAAGTGGGCCCATTGAACATCATCGATTCAAATTTTAAGACGACAGGTAAAAAATTTGAGAAACATATGGAAGTAAACTATTACCACGATTGAAGACCACCATTTTTCCCAAAAGAAAACTCAGGTGCGGCCTATAATCAAAATATTCTAAAATAGGCCACAAAGACTAGAAGATGCGGCCTATCTTCAAGGCCACCTAAACGAAAACAGCTAAAATTAAGGAAAATTAGGATAAACAATCCTGGCATAGCAGAAGCACCAACGAGGAGCTGTTTTCCCCCAAAGTTTCAAGTTTTCCAACAATTTTTGACCCAGCCAACGTGATCTTCATACTTATAAAATGTTCAAGTCGATCTGCGGCCTATTAATCGCGTATATATGGTATATACCTCTTATGGCTGTCGCGAAAATTGTTCAAAAACTTTCGCAATTTTATTTATTCTTTTATTCGCGCGCCGACGACGTATACAGCAGTATTTCAATGAGCCCACTTGAACAAATCATATATCAATCATACACAGCTCACGTGCTGTAAACCAAAGGCCTATAAGAAAAACTTCGTATCCATGCTCGACACGGAATAAAAAGACAGCAGATAAATGTTGGTCCCAACATTGCCCTAGAATGCTTCATCATCTCACTCAGGCATCCCTATAACACCTTTCATCCCACCACAATGTTCACCGTTTTTTCCTTCCTTCTCCACGCTGAAACACGACAATAAGTCAACCCAGGGATTCGTGGGATGAGAGGAAAACAAAAAAAAAAAAAAAAAAAAGAGGAAAGAATGCGGCATTCAGCGTCGTGAGTCCAAGTTTGGAATGTAATCCCTGGCCATGAGACACGCGAAAACGGTCATGATCATCTTCGGCTTCACTTCGGTTATATCTTCCGGCAGAGCGTAAATCCTCGCACCGATCTTCCTCGCCATTGAAATGGCGTACTTGGCATTCGCCGTTTTCGCCTGAAAATGATACCAATCGCAAGCTCAGAGCGTTTCTGATTTTCGACATTGGAATTTATATGACTCGAGTCGAGACCCATTCCGGGCTTTATAATACAATAAGGAAAACTCGTTGATCCACATTCCCCCCCTGACCCTAATCTGCGACATAAGGAGCATCATTAATCTCACCTCATCGTTCTCATCGTGATTCACCAGATCGTAGTTGATGGTGCCCGGGCTAATCGCATCAATGAGGTCGATGACCACCTTCGCGTTCGCCAGGGAAGACTCCTACAAGCCAAATGGAATACAGTATCAATAAACCATGGGGCGCACAAATCATTAAAAAAATCAAAATAACTCAATACTATTTAAAGAAAACAAGAGTGAAAAATATACACATTTTTGCAGTTATCCACTAGTGAGATAAATTTTTTTCTCCACACAGATGTCACTGGAAGTCCAGAAGTGAATTTCGATTCATTTCAGCCAATCCCCATATTGGCTAAAAATAAAACGCCCGAGTCAACATTTAAACGCTATGGTTTTTACGCAAAAAAAAGGACTAACATTTTTTATGATTTAGACAATTTGTCTGCAACTTTCTTGACAAATTCAACGCCAACTTTGACGCACTTACATCTCGCGTGCTTTCCAAAACGTGCACAAAAAATAATTCAAACCTGGAAATTCCTCAAAGCGCTAGTTTTTTTGGCATTGACGAGCTTCGTGTTGACCCAGTCAATGATTTCCTTCTCCACAACAGGGTGCCCCGTTTGCGTCAACTGAGTCAAGATTGACAAAGTGTACGCCCTCATCAGTTGCCAAATCAAAGCTAAAATGGAAGATAATCAATCTGTCAAAAAAATTCGTCCACACAGCGCACTAGACAAAAGGGAAAAATCCCCTCACCGAGCGTCAAAGTCGGGTTCCCGTCATTCAAATCCTGTCCAGCGATGCCAACGAGCGAAAATTTAAGCTGTTTCCCCAACTCGACAGCGTAATTGCAATTCTCTAACTTTTCCATGAACTTGCGCAACTTGGAAAATTTCCTGCAGGCACAAACAATAGGACAATTATTGAAGACCTTAAGATCACTTCAACAAAATTGAGAAAATAAGAAACACGCACTTGTGAACTTTGCTCCAGTCCACAATTCCTGGCCGAATGATGTCGTACAATTGGAAGATGACCAGCCCGTCAGCCAAGTCGGAATACAGCCAATTCACGTGTGGGGCGACGCCCATTGAATTCATCCAATTTCTGTAAGCTGTAAGAAAATATAGACAAGCTTTCCGTTAGTCGAAATCAGACCCAAAAAAGGAATAACTGCCAAAGGTATTCATTCCGATACCTTTGAACAGAAATATCAATTAAACATTTTTCAGCGAGCAGTGACAGTCATTCAAAAAAATCAAATCGTTCAGCCATCATAGCTTTTTGAGCCACTAAACTTTAAGGAAAATTCAACGTTCATGAGACTCAAAGGAACGATTTGATTAAAATTAATTTCCTAGCAACTTTCAGTTATTCATTTTCACGTTTTAATTCTAAGAAGAATGCAACTGTGATCAAAGAATATTTTTCAGGCATTTGCTCATTCATGTCTTCAAAAAAATCTGCAACGCATTTTAATGTGCTTTCGACCTTTTTGCACAAATTCTTCATTATGGTAATCAGACAGCAGCAAGTATAAGTATAAAATTTCGAAAGAGCCCCTTGTAAGCAATAAACAAAAACTGGAAGAAGTAAAGAAAAAACCGGCGATTTTCTTCCCATCACTCACTGTCCCCATATTTGAGTGCTATTGAAAAGAAAAATATGAAAAATGGCCCATATAATCCACCACAATAAATATGAAATATCGGTACTACATTGTGCAATAAAACTCGAAAACTTTAACCTCCCGAGGTCGATTTTTTTTCTCTCTTTCGAATACCGGTTTGAATTCCTTTAGAAACTAAGCATTATTAAATGCCTCTCTAACTTTCAAGGCTTTCCGTCCTCAAAACCTCCATAACTCGAATTTTCTGGAGGCCTTTCGGCTATTATTTCATTGACACACGAGAGAGAAAAGCAATAAAAAAAATGTTACGAAGTTTGTTGACGGGTCGCCCATTGAATTCATCCAATTTCTGTAAGCTGTAAGAAAATATAGACAAGCTTTCCGTTAGTCGAAATCAGACCCAAAAAAGGAATAACTGCCAAAGGTATTCATTCCGATACCTTTGAACAGAAACATCAATTGAAATTTTTTCAGCGAGCAGTGTGACAATCATTCATAAAAATCAAATCGTTCAGCCATCATAGCTTTTTAAGCCATTGAATTTCAAGTAAAATTCAACCGTTTATGAGACTCAAGGGAACAATTTGGTTGAAATTAATTTCCAAGCAAATTTCAGTTATTCATTTACACGTCGAATTTCTAAGAAGAATGCAATTGTGATCAAAGAATATTTTTCAGGCATTTGCTCATTCACGTCTTCAAAAAAATCTGCAACGCATTTTAATGTGCTTTCGACTTTTTTGCACAAATCCTTCAGTATGGTAATTAGACAGCAGCAAGTATAAGTATAACATTTCGAAAGAGCCCCTTGTGAGCAATAAACTAAAACTGGAAAAAGAAAAGAAAAAAAACGGCGATTTTCTTCCCATCACTCACTGTCCCCATATTTGAGTGCTATTGAGAAGAAAAATATGAAAAATGAAAAATGCCCCATATAATCTAACTAACACAATAAACATGAAATATCGGTACTACTTTGTGCAATTAAACCTCGAAAACTTTAACCTGTCAAGGTCGATTTTTTCTCTCTTTCGAATACTGGTTTGAATTCCTTTAGAAACTAAGCATTATTAAATGACTCTCCTTGAAAGTTCCGAAAGGCAGGAGTTTTGGAGGTATTGAGCTTAAAAGACCTCCGGAAAGCCGATAATAAAGTAACTGTGTGCTCTCTCTTTTCGTTATTTTTTTTACAATGCTTCAAACAACTGCCCAAATGAAAGAGTAATATCTCCCCCATTACAATTTCCAACAATTCTTCTTTCTGTCTAATCGAGTGTCAACATCAAGTCATTCTCTCTCACTCTTCTCTTCTCTCGTCTCCTCCACGTCCATGGCGGTGAGATCCATGTCTTCGGGCTTGTCCAGCCCCGGGTGGTTGTTGAAGAGGTTGGCGACGAAGGCCAAGTTGAGTTTGTAGACGCCCGCGACGACGTCCTCGGGCGTGAGGAAGCTGCGACAGCCGAGCTTCTCCGCCTGTTGCAGCATGTGTTCGGCGCGGCGCAGGGCGTCCGGCTCGTGCAGGGCCGCCATGTCCACGCCGGCGTCGAGCGGGGCAATCTGGTGCAGCAGGTACGAGTAGATCTCCGAGTCCCGCACGTCGTTGGTGAAATTGTTCAGTCGTCTGCGAGCACAAAAGGCACACGCGTAAAAAAAATTGTCAATAGGTGGACCAGAAAACTATTTTATACCGTAAAAATCACCAGTTCGAGCATTTCATGTATTTTTTTTGTTTGTCTTTTTAATATGTACATTAGATGTCATTTTTATAGTTATCCACCTGTTTTTTTATTAAGGTAGGACATGGAGTAGTCAAATTCGACTTTTTTGCAAGAACACTTTGAATATTATACTCAAACTTTTTCAATAAAACAAATGATACACTTATTGTGCAGTAGAAATGTCAAAATGTGAACCAGAGAATATTTTTGTACTGCGCGTTAACACTTCCAGCTGAAAAACGTTTTGTGAAATTTGAATTCAATTATTTATTTTTCAGGTGTTTTTTATTCAATTTTACAATGACAGGGGCATTGCTCTTTTTTGCCAACACGGCAAGTTTTCGTAATGTCAATTTTTAGAGAGGAATATTCCAGGGTTGTTCACCATGAAATTTTCGTCGATTCATTTTCATAACAATGAGAAAGAAAATTATCTCATCAGTGGCAAAATACTGTACAGCTTTGATGTCCCAGCAGTTCCACTCACTCAAACAGAAGTAGATTATAATTATATTTTTAACGAACTAACCCAAGGTTTGAAAAATTAAAGAATGAATTGCTTTGAGCACTGAGGAGATGGATGATTCCCACTTAAATTTGGACACACCCAAAATTTATGAACATTCTTGGAATCCCTTAAACAGTAAGACCGCGATCATCAATGATTTCAGATCATTCAATTCACCGTACCTCAAAAGCTCCAAAAGATTACACGAAAGACCTTTTTCAGCTCAACAACAAAAAAGGGAACAACGGTATTTTTCCGTCCGTCGTTTGTGACTCATGTTCACGGTCTCAACTCAAAGAAAATGCATTAAATCCTCTTTTCTACGGATTAAGAGAGATAAAAAAAATTAGGATTTTTTTTCTTCAGATGAGCTTGATCTGGGTAACAAATTAAAATGTAGAACACATGCAGAGCTGATCGCATTATGCGGAAGATAAAAATCACGTGAGAACGGCCTTTAAAAAATACGGCGAAAGAACAGATAAAAACAAATGAAGTAATTAACGCGTCTCCTTTTTGAGACGGCAATGAAACCTGTACAAATTAAGTAAAAAAAATGTTAATGGCTTCACAAAGAATTCGAAGAGTTTCTTCTTGAAAAACCCAACCACAACTTATTTAACCGGAAACGCACCTGTTTGTTCCGGCACGATCCAAATGGTAATTGACCCAGCGCATCAAAATCTGCTCGGGGCTCAGTTTCAGCAATTCGTCAAGCTTTTCTCCGTCCGTGAGCAAAGTGGCCAAGCCTGGACAGTGCTCTAACGT